GATATTGGTTGACCCACTATCTGGGGTGGAGAAATGTTTATGTGCTATTTGGGGTAGTAGTTAAATGGGGCTTACATTTGCCAAAATTCATGTAACTGAACACTTACAATCTGTGCATTTCATTGTGTATAAGTAATACGTCATTTAAAATATTGAAAAGATCTGTGAGAAGAGCCAAAGAAAGTAGCTTAGGGTCATGCAGGCAGAAACAAGCTCAACTGCTGGAGTTGCCTAATTATGTGCCCACACCCCACAGAGATCTAGGCCTGCCTCCCAAGGCCACCAGTTATGGAAAACTTGACTCCTCAAACGCAAATACGCACCACATCAGTGCTTTGGAATTGTGTCTTTATTTCCACACATTTCTACTTAGAATTGGTTAGTTCAGGGGCCTCCCCACTGGCCAGGGGTTAAGCACAGCACTGTGAAGCTATCCGCAGCCTCTGCAGCATGATTTCTATCCCCAGCCAGGGAGCTACCCACATGGAGAAGCAGACCTCTCCTGTCTTGCCTGCTGCTCCCCTCAGCAGTGTATTTCAGTCATCTGCCTGTTCTGCTCCCCACTCTGTCTCTTGTGAATCCTCTCAACCCCCCTCACACCTCTGGCCTGTATCCCAGTTCTTGTATGCATAAATAAATAGATCTTAAGAAAAATAAAGATTGATTTATGCATACAAGAACTGGAGTACCCCAGTCTCTGGCCTGCACCCCAGTTATTGTATGCATAAATAAATAGATCTTTAAAAAATTTATTTATGCATATAAGAACTGGGGTACAGGCCAGAGGTGAGGGGGAGTGAGGGGATTCATCAGAGACAGAGTGGGGAACAGAACAGGCAGAGTGACTGAAATGTACTATTGAGGGAAGCAGCGAGCAAGACAGGAGAGGTCTGCCACACCATGTGGATCACCTCCCTGGCTGGGGATCAAACTCTGTGATGCAGTAGCTGTGGACTGCTTCATAGTGCTGCATCTTAACCCCTTGCACCACCAGGGAGGCCCCCATATATAAATCTTTTGAAAAAAAATTAAAAAAAAAGAATTGGTTACTTCAACTTTAGAAGCTGTGTTCTAATGTTAGATGGTGCTAATACCATAGAATGTGAATCTCCGCATCATAAAAGGGCCACTCAGCTAAAGTATGTAAGGACTGCATTGGATTTCCTGTGCTGTGTTTGGGATGTGAGTCTGTATGTCTTCAGCTGAGATGTAAATATAATTCAATATGCAGTTGCTTTAATGCTTTTATACCAATAAGAAAAAATGATGTTGGGCCTCCCCGGTGGCGCAGCGGTTGAGCGCTGGGTTGCAAAGCTGCCCTCAGCCTCTGCAGCGCCGGTTCGATCCCCGGCTGCTCCCTGGCCACCGGAGGAGGGTCCCACATGGAGCGCAGACCTCTTCTGCCACCCGCTGCTCCCCTCAGCAGTGTACTTCGGTCCTTCTGCCTGTTCTGCTCCCTGCTCTGGCTCTGGTGAATTCTCTCACCCTCCTGCGCATCTGACTATACCCAGTGCTTGTATAAATAAATAAATAAGTCTTTAAAAAAAAAAAAAGAAAAGAAAAAAATGATGTTTAGTATAATTATGTCCATGTTAACTTTTTTAAAGGGAATTAAACTTTAGAGCTTATCCTCTTCTCTGAGTCTTGTAACAGATAATTTAAAAAATGCTTTATCTTCATTTCTGAATAAATTTTGGTTGGTGTGGATAACTTTGTTTACCTCTGGTCCCTTCTGTAAGTAAAAAGATTTGATTTGATGATCTTGAAATACTAGGGAGCAAGCACTTCCATGTGTGAGGGATCTCCTTGTTTAAAGAACTCCAACTCACATTATTTGGTAAAGTGAAGATTTTGTTAAAGGTGCACTCCTGTGTATTTTGTAATACATTTCAAATACAAATATGTTTCTTGAAATCTCAAGTCTTGGGACTCTAGTGTTTTTGAAATCTGGAAATACCTGTATGTTCACTCTTTACCGCCTTCCTCATGTATCACTTAGTGACATAATGGCCCAATTTTGCCCCAGATGCTACATTGATATTTTCAAGATAAGAAATTAGTCCTAGTCATGTTGATTTTTTTCTAAGATACTACTTTGAGCCATTATAACAAAATTTGTAAATTAGAATAATTTGAAGAGAACATTAGCTTTTTTGTTCCAATTAATAATTAGTATTCAAGAAAGAAATCATGAGGAAAGGAAATTATTTAAATCATTGCATTCTGCTTGAATACATCCAGAAGTCCTGTGCCTTCAAAGTGCACGCAGTTTTAATGAGCCTGTTCTGTTCTTTCTTCACCCCTGCCTCTGTCTTCTAAAGATAAGGCTGCTGAGAGAAAGCAGTCACCATGATCACTCTCAAGAAGGAAGTAACTGAGAGAAGGGTGGAATCACAACTTTAACTGAGAAGCCCATTTTTTTGTAGAGACCGGTCCATATTGAGAGGTAGTGATTTTTCTGTGTGACTTTATTAGCAAACTGCAGTCCCAGAACACCAGTTAAGAGTTCCTTTTTTTTTTTTTTCTTTTTTTACTGTTGTTGTTGTCCTCTTGGGGGTCTGCCTGGGTGATAGTGACTAGGGAGTGCATTGGTATTCGACTGTACACTCGGGAACAGTGGCATCAGCCAGGTGCCCAGGCAGCAACTTTGGCTTTTTCCACATCTCTGAGACTATTCGGGAAAGATACCTAAGTGACCTAGGGGAAAATACAATACATCAAAGGTGCTTGCCTGTGTTGCTTTCTGCAGCTTTTCCGTGATGTTGATAGAGATCATTTGAGAGAGGAGGCTGGTGGGCACCCAAACCAAGGCAGAGGAGAAGGAAATGGAAGTTCAGTGTTTGGGGGCAGCATGTGGGAGGGGTGACCTGGGATGTCCACTGAATGGAAATCCCAACTAGACAGCAGAGCTGGGCCAGCAGAGCTGGGCTGAGGGAGAGCTGGGTGTTTGTTCTCTCATCCCTCCAAAGTGCTTTACCTCTTTCCTTTTACCTTATCTTGAAGATGAAGGAGGGCCAGACACCCTGGTATAAGATGTAGAAGCTTCCAGACTCTCTTCATTATTGCAATAGGGAACTTGGGACTGTATCAGTGAGGACACAATAAATGTGGCCAATGCAATTCACAATCTCCACATCCCTCAGAAAAGAAATTATAAGAAAGAACTGAAATTAAACTTTCCAATAATACCACTGACCTCATGTATTAAGAAATCCCTCAGGCCTGCGTATCCATGATTACTCCATCATCTGTTACTCTCTTTCCTGTTGCTCTGTGGATATGTTGACATCTTTTTAGATTTTTTTTTTAGCCTTTAATGGCACAGTGATTGATTTTAACAATTTCCATGTTTGACATTGTTTTTGATCTTCTTTTTACTTTGTTCCCTGCTTTTTGCATTCTCCTCCCCTCCCCTTCATCCCATTTTTAATTGTTGGACTGTTTGTTTATGTGTGTGTGTGTGTGTGTGTGTGTGTGTGTGTGGTTTATTTTTGGTTTCTGTGGCCTGGTGTTCTCTCCTTTCTTCTTGTTCCCTTCTCCTGCTGCTGTAGCCCCACAGGCTGTGGAAGCCGGCCGAGCAGGTAGGGGATATTCCTCTTCATCAGCACCCATGCCCGCCTACTGCCCGTCTCCCAGCAGGGACCCTCTGAAAGTTGAGTGCAGATTGACTGGGGTTGTTAACCTGTGTCCCAGGGACTGACGCCCTGAGCGCTGTCACTCCTCAGGTCTTTTCAAATGCTTTGCACTTGTGACAAAGGCTGCACGTCTGTGTGCATATCTGCAAGCTCTGCCACTTTGGGGTCACCTCTATTTTACTCCATTTACCACTTTGGTGACCTGCTTTCCGATGTGCTTACTTTTTAATTGACCTTCTGTGGTTATGTGTTTTGCATTACTCAGAACATCAAACCACTCTCACTAAGCATTAGTCTGCAACACAGCTCACTGAATAGTCACAGAGTAGAAAGAACCTTCTTTGCATTATACAGCAGGATTGGCTTCCGCCTAGAGGTATTTGCATGTGCTGTTCTCTGTCTTGGTGGCAAGATACCAGTGACAGGATTATTGAGTACTACTGTATGTTCTAATGAAAATGTCTTTTTTTTTTTATCTTTTTCTTATGTTTAAACATTCCTTGCACTTGGTACAAGATTTTCTTCTGATGAATTTTAGCATAGTTCTTCGAGTAATGTCTGAGGGGCTTCCTTCTTTTTCTGGCAAATTTGTTTTGAGTTCCATCTTTTTCTACCCAAGGTACTGTACTACCTACCCAAGAAATGTATGTAGAATTTTGGTTTGTAATGCGGTTTTAATGATACAGCTCCCACATGGACAGAAATCACTGGCCAGAAGTCAGCCCAGCACACGATTAAAGGGATTTATGATACAACGATAAGTGTCTGGATCCCTGAGTTGAGCAGATAGTCAGATATCTCAGACCACAGAGTGCTGCCCAGCTGAATAAGGGTAAGCACACACTCTCCCTGACCTAAGTCACAGACAAAAATAACCTCATGAGCTGTGAGAAACCCAAGGCACAACAGAAATAGAGGAAACAAGATAATTATCTTTTATCTCTTCCTTAATCTTCCAGTTCATGTCATGTGTTCTGCTTCAATATCTTGAGCTTTAAGAATAGGCCTTTTGGATGCATGTAGTACGTATTTCTCAGCAAAGGAGGCTTCATATCTTTGACAACTTGCTTTTGCCACTAGCCACTGTCTCGGTGGTTTTATTTCACACAGTATGTGGCTTGCCTCTTATTTTTGTAAATCCAGTTGACAGTCAAGCACGTGAAAGTCCAGTATTATCCTAATAAAATGACCCTTCTGGAATTTAGGGTAGCAAACAGTTAATGGGTATTTCAGAGAAGTGAGGTTTTATTGCTTTCCGTTTATGTTCAGTTTGGGATTTTACCCAAAATATGCTCAAGAGCTTGCAGGCAGCACAGAGTTGTTCCCCACAAACTCACTTTAACCTCTTCGTGTCATTGCTTGCAGGGGACCTCGGGACCTGACCCAACCACCGTCTATGTTGATATGAGAGCCCTGAGACATGACAGGTATGGTTTTGTTTTCTTCTTGCTCAGCATGCAGGTGCCACCTAGGAAAGGGAGCATTGGTGTCTATGTGCTCAAGTACACTGACCTGTGAATAAAGCCTCTGCATTGGGCAGGTTGCCTTGAACTGCAACATCTCTCCCCTTTCTGTTTTAATATACCACATAAGACAGTTGCCATTTTGTTTTGAGATACAAATGAAAACTATTGCACCATAGTTAAGTGTGACCAGAGTTGCTTTTTCTAAAGGTCTAATCTGAAGCTTGTGGGTTCTTTTCCTTGGTCATTTTAATCAGGCACCACTTAGCATCTCATAAAGTATCAACATTCCACCCACTTTATATATATTAATTGAAATTTTTCATCAAGGCACTTTCATAAAAATTAAAATACAAATTACATCACTTTTTATGTAGCTTCCTAAGCAGCTTTGAGTAAGAATAAAAGGTTTTATAATTGATGAATGTTTGCAAGTTCTCCTCAAGGGGGGTGAATTGGAGGGTAGGGGTAGGTGAAAGCAAGAAGACCTTTAGAGGAATTTCTGCCCCAACAAGAGCTTATTAAGGTTTCTGTTGAGCAAGAAAGGGTCTTATCTTTTTTTTAATCTACATGTTCTTTTTTTTTAAAGATTTATTTATTTATGCATATAAGAACCAGGGTACAGACCAGAGGTGTGAGGGGTGAGAAGATTCACCAGAGACAGAGTTGGAAACAGAACAGGCAGATCAACTGAAATACACTGCTGAGGGGAGCAGCGGGCGAGTCAGGAGAGGTCTGCTGCTCCATATGGGTAGCTCCCTGTCTGGGGATTGAACTCATGCTGCAGTGGCTGTGGACAGCTTCATGGTTGCATTTTAACCCCTTGCGCCACCAGGGAGGCCAGGGTCTTATCTTTGTTTATAGACTTTTCTTATTACATAAATCATTTTCTTTTGGTAATTGCGGTGAGACCGCAATTCATTCATTGTTTTTATCTGATATGATTCATAGAGCCAACCTTGCCAGGCACCAAATGAGTGTGTTGTTATCACTGGGTACTGTGCAGCTTACCTTGCATGTTCTCATTTGCTTGCCTATCAGTGACATGTGCCATCATGCCAAGGAACACATGGAAAACTGGGGTGAGAGTTAGTAGGTGGGAGACTCAGAGACCTGACCCCTGCCTGATGGAGCAGTGGTCTGAGCTCATTCTTCTAGGACCCTAAACCCAGGGTGTGAATGTGTTGGGGTAGGGTAGATGCTGAGGGAGGCATCTGGGTGGGCCAGGCAATCTCCGGCCAGCCCGAGTAACTGCCACCCTGCACTCACACTCAAGATTCACAAGAGAAGAATGACATTGAAGATTCTCAAGAGAGCACATGTGCCCCCAGCAGGCATCTGGCCATATTTCGTTAGCACAGTGTTGGGAATAGTTCTGCCAGCACCCGGAGGCTCAAGGCCAGGGATGCAGCTTAATGTCCTATTTGTACAGGGGGAAAAAAAACCCTCCAACTTCACCCCCGCTTAATCCAAAATGACCACACACCAATAATGCCAAATCAGAAAGACCCTGCAGCAATCTGTTAAATAATAAAAATCCAACCAAGTTAATTTTAAAGATCTAATTGGCTTTATTAATGATTCATAAATCACGTAGCATCCTGTAACCAGGCAAAGCCGAGGGGTACCCAGAGGCCCCAAACTATTAAGGGGTGCACATTGTGAAAGTGTTCAACTATCTGCATATACAAAGGCAAAGAGAGAAGACTCTTATTGTGAAAGACCTTTAATTGGAGAGAGAGGAAGGCAGGAAGGGAGGGAGGAGGAAAGGATTTCAAATAACAGATTTTTTTACATCATGTTTCATTTTTGTACAATGTATGCATTTTCACCTTGGTTATAGTCACCTTGGTTATAGATTACTAGCAAAAGAAATATTTTTTAGGCAAAGCCACTTTCCAATGGGGGGAAGGGGAGACTTTGGGGGGGGGACCATCATCATGCAGATGACTTCAAGAGGGCTGACAAGAAACCCAGGTTGACTAGTTTAAATTTCCATTTTGGGAGATGCTGAAACAGCATTTATGTCAGGTATGAAGTCTTAGGGGGGCTTGGTATGCAGGACTCCAGTAGGGGCCTGACAATGAAATTCCCACCACCCATTCACCCATGGTCTATCACCATGGTCCCTTGTGTTCTTTCCACTCTTGTTTTGATCCTACTCCCTTCTCTCCCCCTGCAGAATGTCTCTGGTTTATAATTATCTGTTGATTTTGATTTTTACTTTATTATACTTTTTTTTTTTCCTGATCCCTTATTTGGATCCTCTACATTCCTGCTATGTGTGAGACCATCCGGTATTTTTCTTTTTCTTTCTGGCTTATTTCACTGAGCGTGATCCCTTCCAGCTCCATCCAGGTTGCTGTGAATGGCACGAGTTTATCTTTTTCTTAATTGCTGAGTAATATTCCATAGTGTATATATACCATATCTTCTTGATCCAGTCATCTATTTTTGGGTATTTCGGTTGTTTCCATAGCTTACCCATTGTAAATAGTGCTGCAATATAGCAGATTCTTAATCAAATTCCAAAAACTACTTATCACAAGTCTTAACACACCTTCCAGCAGGGAATCACAAGAAAGAGGTTAAGCAGGTCCCAAAGAGCTAGGAGAGGCCCAAAATTCAAAATGTGCCACATAATCCACCATAAAGTCAAGGTAACAACTGCTATTATCTCTGCCAAAATGCTGATGTCCCAGGAGCAGCCTCTCCTAGTGTCTCCCTTTCCTCCTTCCTTCTACCTCAATTTATATATCCACCTTGCTCCTTCACAGCTGCCCCCATGCAGCATGGAATGCTGGGAATTGTAGTCCAAGGTGGCTGCATGTAAGTGGAGGCAGGGAAGTGATGCCCTTTCATGTGCTGCGATGTTCCTTTGCCTTTCTCAGGACACATTCTGTAACAGCCCTACCTAACAAGTAGAAAGGTACTTCAAGAAGTTGTAAAAGTGAAAAGATGTTATAGTCAGAAAGAGGATAATTAGCAAAAAAAAATATTTTTTAGGCAAAGCCACTTTCCATTAGAGGGAAGGGGTCACTTTGAGGGGGGAACATCATCATGCAGATGACTTCAAGAGGGCTGACAAGAAACCCAGGTTGACTAGTTTAAATTTCCATTTGGGAGATGCTGAAACAGCATTTATGTCAGGTATGAAGTCTTAGGGGGGCTTGGTATGCAGGACTCCAGTAGGGGCCTGTTGTTTCTTTTTGTTTTAGCACACCTACCTCGCCATGTCATGCTCAGAGGCTGACTGCTTGGCCCTGTTGCCCTGGTTGTAGACCCTGATGTTTAGAGGGAAGTGCAGAATTAGAGGCCATCTGGTGGGATCCTCTACAGGGAACCCAGCACAGAGAAAATCTGACCTACCAAGAATGCACCCGCTGAATCTTAGTTCACGGCCATCTGGAATGGCTTCAAAATTCAGAACCTTCATCTTAAAGAGATTAAGTGACTTGTCCCAGAGGCACACAGATTTCCAATCACTTCAGGGCTTTAAAACAAATCTGCATTACTCCCTTAAACAAATTATTTTTGCAAATACTGTTATAACTTCATGACTTCAAAAGGGTCAGCAATACTCCTGTAAGAATCCCTGTTTGAATAACAGTTCTGTTTGTGACCTGGACCTCAGAATACATGAAGAATAAACACTGTAAGACCATTCAGATAAAAACTGCTGACCTTTGAGGTATAAGACGGTAGATTGCAGTGTCAAACCAACTTACCCACAAGGATGGTAATCATAAAAGAGATAGTTTATCTCATTTTGTATTATAATAGGGTTGGTTGAGAGTAGGGACTTAGGGATTTTTCTACATTTGAAAAAGACAGAATATCTCAGGAACTATTCTAACAGTTTTTTAACTACCCTTTTGAATGTCTTCTGTGCAGCACATCTTCTATGAAAAAAAAGGTATGATTTGGGGAAAGTGAAATGAAATTAGACCCAGTACAGTTTATGAAGGTATCAGGCTGCAAAGGAAGTCATTCCTTACACCTCTTGGTTTGTCCAGGCTGGCACATAATCAGACAAGCATCAGACAGATTCATAAGAAAAAAAGCCAAAGAGAGGTAATGTGACAATAGGTACACCCTCCTATATACCTGGGAGGTACCCGTAATACTGAGTAATTCTCCACATGACTTCAGATGCCATCTTAAACTCAGCTAGGATAAGGGAGGTTAGAGGAAGAAAGGGGGGAAGGGCAGTTAGGGAACTTACCAGGGAAGACACAGTAAATCAAGGTATGCCTTTATTAAAAAAAGTTTCTGCCTTTTCCCCTGAAAGGAGATAAAAGAGATTAGGTCTTCCCTGTGCAGTGAGGGAGATACCCTTATCGAGAAGTTTGTATATAAATGCCATTTCAAAAGCATCCCCCTGCAACCTTCAGAGCCCCATAAATCAACCTTTTGCCAGAGATATATATTTGGGGCGATAGATTTTTGTTCCCTTACAGTGAGCATGTAATGAAATTCAATATAAAACAGCATCATTGTTCTATTAAGAGTCTGGAGAACTGAGACAAAGCTTCTTGGCAATTTACTATTTTTGGAGCTTGGCAAATCCATAATTTCTTTAAGTGACACTCTGTCCTACAATATATAAAATAATCTCTGATACATACTAGTCATCAAAAATAGAAGTAAGAGTGGTTTGTGGTCTGGGCATTGCTCTGCCAATGTCCAGATTATTTAAGATAACCATTAAGATTATTTAAGGTTATTTAAGATAACCATTGGTAATATCATTGATCTCTACAAATAATGGAAGTACTGGTTTGTGTCAGAGTGGTCCAACAAGCCGCCCCTGCCCACCTCTCCACCCTGTCCAGGCCACTCATAGGAAAGCCTTCCACCTTGCTCCCCTCACTGGTTCTTTAGGTTGGCTTCCCACCTCCATCCTAGGGCCCCCTCCCAGGCTTAGCCTCATTCCTCTCTGCATCAGAGGACCCATGTGCCTG